GTAATAAAAATATGGTTTTTGTTTTTACGAGAAAGGCGACCGAAGAATTTAAATGAAATGGCGGAGCTGGCGGAACAGTACATGGAAGCTCGAGGTGACGGTCTGGGCTCCTCCTTTCAACCGGTATTCCAGCCTGCAACACACACATCAATGTCAAGGCCGATGCCACCAAGTCAATAAAATCGACGATTTGAACAGTATCCTCAACGTAACCGATTTCAAGGTACTTGTTTCTTGTGTAATAAACCAGGACATCGGGCATATGATTGCCGATCTAAAATCTTCAACAGGCCGTCTACTGTGGCACTGGGCATTACAAATCCACCAGTTACGGAACTGAATAGGTACTCTCAGCCAACGCATCAGAATGTGGTTGTGGAACGTAATCGTGAGTATAATGGTACGAATACTACTGCCAGTATAGTAAGTAGTGATAACTTCAAATTTCAAGATTGTTGTATTTCAAATGGTGTAATTACCCTTATGTGTGGGCACACAGTTCCAATGTTGAGTGCTTCGTGCAAGGTTCGTAATAATCAGATGCCGGTCACTACAGGAATGGTGGGGGTCACAGAGTATGTGTGCTACGAGATAGTGGATGTAGCGGAATAGTTGTCCGTCGTGGATTGGTAACGTCGGAGCAGCTTACTGGAGAAGATCGCATATGTATATTAATTTATGAAAGTATTCGCAGAACTCCTGTTCCAAAAATTAAAATTAACACTCCCTATTTTAAAGGAATTCATGAAGCATTACTTGATACTTGATATAAGTGGGAAAAGTTAGGCAAACGCCTTTAAGACCCCACAGCTGTCTAGTCTGTTCTTGAAGGTGTTTACAGTTGTGGCAGGAACAACCTCTTGCGGTAAGCTGTTCCAGATATTTATTACGCGATGTGAGAGAAATTCCATTCTGCATTTCAAAAATTTGTTAAGTTTTGGTTTGTATAATTTATATTCATGTCCTCTCCTATCTTAGTGTGACAAAGATAAAAAATGTTCCACAATCCACGTCTTCAAAGGACTTAACAATTTTAAAATTTTCAATAAGATCTCCTCTAATTCTCCGTTGTTCCAAGGTTATACAGGTTCAATTTGATTAATCTCTCATTATAACTCATATTTTCCAAAGATGGCAGTAATTTTGTAGCTCTTCTTTGAACTTTTTCTAGTATACTTATGTCCTGTCTGTTGATTGAATAGCAATATGACATTCATGCTGATAAATATGACTATGGAAATGATGATTGTACTTATGGTTTCCATTGTGATGTAATGTTTAAATTTAAGTTTGTCTAGAAGAGGTTGTGCTTAAAGATTTATGATAGTTTGTATTGTATGTAATGTTGTATGGAATTGGAAGTTGTAATGCACATATGACTATAAATGAGATTGTGCTTGTGATTTCATGTGGCGAATAATACGTTGTGCCCATTGTAAACGTATGTGATTAAATGAATTTGTGAAGATTTTGACATTATTAATTAATAGTAATTATGGCAACAATCAGTTTCAGCATGCTTTTTAAAATAATTTCAAATTTTTATCTACCATAAATAATAACAATATATTAATAATAATAATAATAATAATAATAATAATAATAATAATAATAATAAAAAATAATAATAATAAAAAATAATAATAAAAATAATAATAATAATAATAAAAATAATAATAAAAATAATAATAATAAAAATAATAATTATAAATAAATTATTATTATTATTATTTAATAATAATAATAATATATAATAATCCGTGTTTATTTCTCTTTTTTTTTTTTTTAATTATGTACAGCTTTTAAGCATAAAGATAAATATTATATTTAGAGGCAAAAACCCAAAAAAGCAATCTTGTCAATTTTGACCATTAACCATGGGGATTTCTTTCTCTTCATTTTTTGTCAACCTTCATAGGATTCTCATTCATTCATTAACATTGCATCGTGAAACTATATTGGGAACATATAAAACTGTTTTAATTATATTATTTCTGCTGATTTAATATTATAAATGAATTGTATTTGCATTGCAATTTATTGCTATAATTTATAATTCTACTGTAACTAATTGTCAATAAAAATAAAATTATATAAAATTGTATGTCACCGTTATATGAAAGCATGTCAAAAACCCTATTAAAGAGACAATTTCACGTTTTTGGTTAGTGTCCCCTATTCAGGGGACATTTTTTTGGTCCCGAAGGTGTCCCCTCAATAGGGGTTCTACTTTTATTGTTTTATCTTATAGGAATATTGGGGAGTTAAATCAATAAAAATGTACAGAAAAACAATTTTGGCCATAAATATACTTATAATAATTATATATTAATAGTATAATTTCATTTTCTGATCAATAGTTTATGAAAGGTTTTTAAAAAAATACATTTAATGTCGTCAACAATGCTGTATGCAATTAAATTTTATTATTAGATATTTATTAGATCCACCATACAATAAGGAACATACAAAATATGATACATACATGTAACTTAAAATAACAGACAATGTATTGAATACAGGGAGGTACTGTAAAATTATAAGAATATAAACTTCGACTGCTTTCAACAGTTCAACAGTACATATCTGTAATGTAGACTACTAAAAAAGTAAAAGTATAAAAGTAGCTTGGCCTTTTCTTATTGCTTTACGTTTACTAACCAACAAAAAGTTATGCTAATGCTATCAACTAAAGTCAAACACTTATATACTTATATAGGGCGATGTATGCAAACAAACAAAAACAAAAGCATACCTTTACTATTGGTTAGCAACATTCCTAACGACAGACACAAGTGTACAGGTTCAATATAAAACCCTTGATATTATGCTTACTCTGGTATGTAAAATCATAAAGAACTATCGTGAGGAAAACACAATTTTAAGTCTACAAGTACATTGCAAGTGCTACTTTTATATAAGCGCCGCATTCATTGTAGAATCCAAAAACATCGGCAGCGCTATGGTTATCAGAAGAAGCACTAAACTGGGTCATTAAAAGAGAGAAGACAACCAAAAAGTGAATTTCTGGGCCATCGACATCCCGCCTTCGCTGACCCATCCAGCCAGGCCTATACAAAACGATTTGTGAAATGTTTGTTCTCCGTTAGGTTGTTGATATGAACGTGACGTTTTCAGTACAAGATGGTTTGGTAGCTAGTTCGATTTCATCAACGTCTGACGAGGTTTCTGCCGTACAGCCAGAGAAAACAACTTATACGCTGATGTTCTGAATGGACAACACTGTACCTGCAAGAACCGTAGGCGTGTGTCACTTGATCCTCAGCCAAGTGATGATGAAGTTTTGGTATTTCGAAAGTACTAGATCCCTATGTATCACTGAAAGCAGACAAATTTATTCGAGAAACGTATTTCAACTTTTATAAAATGTCCCGAATCATTAACTGCAAATACAAAAAAAATCTTGCAATTGTAGAATATATAGACCTATACCCTCCCGAACC